CTTCTGCCGGGTGGGGGCTGGGGGTGTCGAGAGGAGGCGGGTGCCCAGCACCGTGCAACGAAGACAGGGGGCCCGAGAGAACCGGGGTGGTGGTGGTCGTGGTGGTCGTGGTGGTGGTGGAGGGGGGTGTTCCTCTCCTGGGAAGGGCGTGAAGAGACCGGAGTGGGGAAAGGAGCAAAGGTTTTGACATTTAAAGGAGCGAGAAAGGCTCACGGTTTGCTTTGGCGTGGGGACGGACAGAGGGGCTGTGAGTGGGACACCTTTCAACCAGGGAATCTCAAAGCACTTTACAAGCCACGCACTCTCCTTTCCGCTTTATGGGTGAGCAAACTGAGTCACAAAGAGGTCAAATGGCGAGATGAAGGTCAAATGGCAACTCGCTCGCCTGGCTCAGGCTTCGAGCGGTCCCCCTCCCTGCGGGCACTTAGCCGGGAGGTGAAGCGCTGCGGTGGGACCCCCGTCTCCAGCGGGGCACACCGAGCTGGCGGCCGCCGCCTCCGTCCGCCGGGAAGAGAAGAGGAAACGGCGATCGTTATTTCGGGCTTACAACTCTGCCTTCCCACCCCTAGTCCCCCCTTAGTTTGTGATCAGTAGTTTTCCAGCCGGGAAATGTTTTCGCCCTCATCTTCTCGGCAAAGAGTGCCTTTTTTTTTTTTTTTAAACGTGAGTGTGGTGTTCGGTATCGCTTGCTGAACGTCCGCCTGCGAAGTGTTTAGCTTGGATTCAGGCGCGCCGAGGGCTCCGCCCGCCCTTTCCACCGACAGCCCCCACTGGGAACGCTGCCGCTCAGGCCGCCTGGTGTAGGCCCAGGAAACAAAAGGGAGGAGGGGGGCTTGGAAACGCGTGGAAGCCCCATCCCTGGGCAGAGTGCGCACCCACCTCCATTGAGCTCTAGCTGCCGACTACTGTAAGTCCTTGTCACCTGTTTGAGTCCCGAGACTATGCTCCCTATTAGGTCTCCTCAGGGTAGGTGTGAGCCCTGGTGTTCCCACTCCTTACCGACCTCAGAAGCATTCTTGGAATGCGTCTCTCCCCGAATTCACCGGGCCCTTTCCGCCAACGCTAGGTCCTACGTCCTAGGTCCGGAGAATCGGACTCCCTGGAAGATCACTTCCATCGCCTAACTGGGCTCTGGCTAAGGGCTGTGAAGGCCTGAAGGTGGCGAGAGGGGCGGGCGGGCCTGGCTTTGACAGGAAAATCCTGCCCCTCCCTCCCATGGCCTTAGAGGGGTTCAACCCCACCCCATAGGAGCAGGCCAGTTACTTTAACTCTGAAGATACTGCCCCTTTCAAAAGGAGGACTCAAGAAAGGAGACACACCTGTTACCCCCTCCCCCCTCTTTGTGATGACAAAACATTTCTGGGGATGCTAGGACTTCAGGGTTGTGTGGGGAAGTTATCCCCTTTTCCATGAAGGCCAAGGTTCCTAAACCCCAGTGAACTTGGATGAGCCCTTGATTGGCAGCCATCAGCCTCAGGAGGTAAACATGTAAGTCAGGACTTGGGGTTTCCAACTTAGGTAGCCAGTTCCTACGGTTTTTCTCTGCTTTGTTTTAATTTTTCTAAGTAAGGCAGTAGCCCTTGCCCTTTAACAAAAGTAACCACCACAATGAAAAAAACAATATTACACAGATGAATTGGAAAGCCACTATTATTATGTCATATAATCAAGACAAGATTCTGTAACTCAATTTAAAAAGACAAACTTGAATTTCCCAATAGGTCTTTTGGAGGAAGAAAGCCAGTCCATCTTGGTGGCAGGCAGCCATCTGGTGAGTCCTCTGATTGCATCATAAAGGGAAATCTCTAGATTCACCTCGGATTTCTCAAAGAGGTAAGGAACTTCGAGTTCACAAATCATCGCCTTTCAAGGCAAGTGCCTGGTGTGACAGCAGGGTTATGACCCTCCCTCTCTCCAGAACAGGTAGGTCCAGAAGAGTTAAGTTCCTGCCCTATATAATTTATAAACATGAGGATGAGTAAACCTTTGATGACTAAATTGTACTCTAAAATAATAATAATAGAAGACACCCTGTAAAGAAGAATTAAATACTTACTGGTGACTTTATTTCAGCAAACCGATATTACAAGTTTTGTGGTATGGAAGTTAATTATTAACGTCCTTGGAATTATAGATTTTTTTCCCCAGTATAAACTGCATTAGTAGGCAGAAGGTGTGATGGAAACCCTTAGTGCTGGGGGATTAATACGGAGCCATGCAGGGGGTGTGATAAAGGTCTCAGTGAGGGCTGCACCAGAACTGGGCACTGGATCTGGGCACCTGGCTACACAGGATTTAGGAAGAGCTGCTTTTATTTTATTTTATTTTATTTTGGGCCTGGGGAGGGGGCAAAGAGATGCTTTTAATGAGGACAAAACAAGAGATAATTTTAACTATCCTAATTGTGTTTGAAATGAAATACCTCCTGATGAATAACTGTGAGAGGGGCTTCCCTCAGCCTCCACTTGCACCCCCTTGTAAACTCCAGCTCCTTAAACCCCAGTCTTGTGTGGAGGTTAAGAAAGTGGGCGGCAGCACTAGATGTCCTGGGTTTGTGTCCTGGCTCTGCTGCTTTCTAGCTGGGCACGTTGCTTAACCTCGCCCTGCCTGTCTGTCCTTCCATGAAATGGGGGTGTTAATAGTACCTACATCTTAAAGTGATGAGGAGGGTAGGTGGGATCTTCCAAGTCAAGTATGGAGCACAGGACCTGACCCTCAGCATGTGGTCTCCGGGGGACCGTAAGCTTCATGAGGACAGGTGCTGTTTTCTCCACTACCGTATCCCCAAGTCCCAGTCCAGAGCCTGCCCAGCACAGGGTCATGCTCTGTGTTTGTTGAATGAATGAAGTATGTGCTTGTCCTTTTTGAACAGTCCGTCAGCAGGAAGCCTGCCTTTCCTTTCAGTTCTCATCAATCCCCGTTCTTGTCAGGAACCTCCTGTCACCCAGACTCTTCTCATAGTTTTCCCCACGTTATTTCCTCATTCTTCCTCAGCTTCTCAAGCTAGAAACCCAGATTTCCCTTGATTCCTCCCTCACTTTCTTTGAACTGGGCACCAGGCGTCCAGGAAGTTCAACAGTTTCCATTCCTAAGTCTCTCTCTCTCTCTCTCTCTCTCTCTCTTTCTCTCTCTCCTACTGCAAGTTGGGCTGCCTTGTTTCAGGCACTCTTTATGTGTAGCTTTTAATTATTGCTGTAACCTCCAAACTGTTGCCTCTCCTTGTTCACCGCCCCAATAGTCCCACTGGAATTTCCCTGCTAGAGCCAATCCACTTGGCATACCAATCACCAAGCTCCCTTCTGCTCACCTCCCCGCTACCCGCTCCCCTCTGGCTGAGGGAGCAGGACCCAACTCCTGAGCCTGACGTACCAATCTCTTCCTACTTGGGTGCTAACAGACTTTACAGGATCATCTCTGGGGACTGACCCCACCCTCCCTAACCGTTAAGGGGATGTTCTCTCAAGTCTCTGAATACACGCTGTGCATTTTCACTGGCCGTTTTTCCTGTCTGAAATGCCTCTTCTCCCCTCGGGGGCCCTCCTCATTCTCAAACCCCAGAGCCCCGCTCTGAATTGTCCCGTGGTCTGTTAGTCCCCATCCAGGTTCGAACGGTTTCCTCTGAGCTCTACTAAAGCCGTGTGGTGACTCGGCCATGCCACTTGCCCAGTGGACTGCTATTGTCTGATTATTTGTTTGTGGCCTGTGTCCCACTGTGGCATCTTCAGGACCAGTGCCCAGGAAGTATTCATGGTAGGATGAAGGAAGTGAGCAAAACTGCCTGGGTGAAAGGATTCGTCTGGGAGCCCAGCTTGTCCGTAACGTTTCTCTCTGGTTGCGAGTTCACTGGCTTGGTACTGTTTTCCATTCCTTTTCTTTCTCTCTCCGATTCTTTTCCTTCTTTGAAAAGCTCTGTGGAGGAGACCGAAAATAAAGCCCTTCATAACTCTGGCCTCTCCAAACAGTTGGACAAAAAGAGAGAGAACGGCCTGGCCAAGGCATTGTAATAAAACCAACTCGAAAACACAAACAAAAATAACCAAAAGGCAAACCAAAACCAAATGGAGAAAGAGTCCACTCTTTTCTGTAGCCAAATCCATTGCCTTTAAAACCCAAACATTGGGTATTGAAGTTTTTAGAGCAGAAAATGAATCACAGACATTAAAAAGTTG